ATTTCTCCTCCCCCAAATCCTAACCTAGTTTTTCTGCCATTTTCAAACTCCAAATTCTCTCTACTCAGGCAAAAGAAATGAAATGTAAAGATATGTACATGTTCAGGGCTATGAGTAGAACCTTGTTTCTTCACAAACTTAAGACTAAAGATGCATGATAAGAGAGATACGAATTCAAAGTTTTACCTGTGCAGTTGAACTTCTATCTGGAGAATGAGGAACTTCTGGTGCAAGGTAATGATTGGAAAAGCTTCCTTGAGGTCCAGGGATGCTTTTTCAATGCTTACTTTGTCTTGAAACTTCTTGTATCAAGCTATAGAACCTCACCTGCAAGTCAAAAATGTAAAAATGGTGGAAGCTGTTAGAGAGATTACAGGTCAGGTTTTAGGTCATGGTTAGCTTGCATATATGCTAGGGAGTGTGTATGAATTGATTTTGGTAAGAATGCTCGAGGGAAATGGGAGTTGGCACTCAAACTGCAGAGGCAACTCTGTTTTTGCAGTTTGAGGATGATTCTGAGATGGAGGGTGTTTTGGAGGTGCAAGGGTCGTGTCTTGGCTTGGTTATGTTCTATGAAAGGTGTTTGATAACTTTGTTCTTGTGGTTCTATGCTGAAGAGAGAGTTGTTACAAGTTATGGACTTTTCTTGAACTTTAAGCAAACAAATGCAACTTGGCTTTCTAGGTCAGTAGAGGACCCCCTAATGTGCTGCATAATCCTCTCTTGATCAGTGTGTTATGCACATAATCTTGTGCCAAGCAGATTTTCCATGTACTTTCTTGATTTGCAATTGGATATAAAGTTAATCTTTTCAAAAATGGAAAGTTCACTTTATCTAGTTTAGGATTAATCTTGCATACAATGCTTGCACTCAAAGAACAACACTTTAACACATTGAATATGCATTAAATTATTGAGTATGGAATGGTTCAAGGACCTGTAATCAAGCATAAAGCAAGCTGAGTTCAAATTTGCAAGATTATGAACATGTCTTGGTTAAGAACAAAAGTGAATTTTTGCCAACTTGTGAAATTCGAATCTCTCAAGTTATGAGGTGTTTGAGAAGCTCTTGGACATTTTGGAAAGCTTGGAATGTGTACTACAATCCATCTTTGAAATGCAAATTGAAATTCCAAGTGGAAGGGTATGAAAAATGGCCTTGAAGTGGGGTAGAAAACCTTGTCAAAATAGGTTAAAATTTCACTAAGTTAAAAATGGTTTAGTGCCCTTATTCAAAAAATTGTAACTTGAGATACAAGCTTCAAATGAGAAAACTTTGTGAATCAAAGTTGTAGATTATGAAACAAGCTACAACTTTCATGTTTTGACTTTTGTTTGAATCCAGATGGATCTTGGTGAAAAGGTGGGGCAAAGTTGGGAAAAAATTAGGGTTTTTTCATAACTTAGAAAAATTCTAAGTTATGAAAATTTCCATTTTCTAACCCTAATTTGCATTTTGTGATTTCTTGGTGAACAAGTTTCATGATTTGGCATGTTTTGATGAAAAATGAATCTTGACTCTTGATTTTGACCAAAAAGTCAAAGTTTGATTTTTCAGTATACAGTCAAAATTGATCAATTGACTGGGAAATTCAACTGTCAATCTTGTGTACTTGGGATCTTTTGAGCTTGATGAATGTGTCAAGACCATTTCATTGGGTCCTTGAGTCCATATGTGAGTTTGATTTGCCGTTGGCTAGGTCAAACAGTCAAAAATTGCCTTTGTGCAGTCAAAACCCTAAAAATGACCATTTTACCCTTTTGGTGATCTGATCAAATTTCTTGTGGAATTGTGATCCAAACTTGATCAAATGGTCCATATGAGTTTAATATGTTGATGTGGGTCAAATTTCATGAGATTTGGCTGTCAATTGGCCACTGTTGACTTTTTCCCCAATACAGCTGATTTCTAGGTCAACTGTCCAATTGACTGGGTAAAACTTGGAATCAGGACTTGAAACTTGGTATGGGTAAACTTGGAAGTCCAACATGAAACATGAAAGTCATCTTAGGCATTTTAGGTCAAAACATCCTTGGGCAAACACAAACCCTAATTTGAGTCCACAGTGCAAGGAGCAGTCTTGAGCAGAGGAAACCCTAGCTGGATCTTGATCTTCAAGGGTCTGGTGATGAGAAAATGCTGAGGAAATGGGAGGGCAAATTTTGGGGTACAACACCTTTAAAATGGCCATGTTATGCATGTTGAGTATCTTGGCAAAACAAAAACAAAACAAAAGATCATAGTCCCTCGATGATGCTATCTTGGTTGCCTATACAAAATGATCTAGTCCCTCAAAATTTTGCTAAAGATACTTAGCACAATTGCTATCATGGTCCATACGATGACCCGCGCATGTCCCTTTTAACATCCAAATACAAGTTTGTTTACCAAATGCAATGGTAAAACAACACTATCAAAAGGGTTAAAAATGTGTAGGAAAGATCTTTGAGTAAAATAGTGTAGATAACTCTTAGTTACTTGATCAAAACTTGCAAAAACATCCTTGTTATTTTCAAACACACCTCACAACACAATTTCAAAACATTTCTCAAAGCAAACTTTCAAACATTGAAATATATTTTCAAAAGACAAACATCTTTATATATATTCAAACAAGAATCATTACAAAGGTTGCCACAACGATGGCCTCTTTTCAAAGCATTTTCAAAAACCCCACACCAAGCACCATTTCAAACAATTGAAAAGAAAAAGCAAGTGATCTAAACAAGTAACTAAGAGCCCATGGATAACCATGGATGAAAAGGGTGCTTGCACCTTCCCTTTTCATAATCTACTCCCGAACCCAAGAAAACATCTCAAAGGTCTTTCCTGTGCTTTTTGACCTTTCCTTTGGATAAAATAAAAAGTCGGTGGCGACTCTTGCTAAACCGAAACATTTGCGAACACAAACGCAAAACCTCAAGTCAGTTCTCCCACTGTATCACAGTCTACCAGTTTATTAGCAACCAAAACACCGTCAAGCAATTGTCTACTCGACACAAAAGCACTTTGACACAGGGAAATAATCGAATTCAACACTCTTTTTAACCTCCCCGCCAAGAGTTTAGAAAGCACTTTGTACATACACCCCACCAAACATATCGGTCTATAATCATCCCAAAACACCAGATTCGAAGATATAGGAACCAAAGTCAAGAAAGAAGAAGTCACCGCCATTGAAATTTCGCATTCGGAATGAAAGTAATTGAAGAAACTGATGAAATCCTCTTTAATAAAATACATACATTTTTTTATAAACATAAACGAATAACCATATGGGCCTGGACTTTTAGAACTCCCACACCCCCTTATAGCCTTTGTGATACGGTGGGAGAACTGACTTGAGGGTTTTGCGTTTTATCGCAAATGTTGCGGTTAGCAAGAGTCGCCACCGACTTTTCTTTCATCCAAAAGGAAAGGTAAAAAAGCACAGGAAAGACCTTTGAGATTATTTCTTGAGTTCGGGGGGTAGATTATGAAAAGGGAAGGTATTAGCACCCTTTTCATCCATGGTTTTCCATGGGCTCTTAGTTACTTGCTAGATCACTTGCTTTTGTTTGAAATTGTGCTTGGTGTAGTTTTTGAAAGTATTTTGTAAAGAGGCCATTGTTTAGGCAATCTTTGTAATGATTCTCGTTCGTAAGAATGTATACAAAGATGTTGATCTTTTGAAAATGTTTTCAAGTTTGCAAGATGTTTGAAAGTGTATGTGTTTGTTTTGAAAATAGCAAGGATGTTTGTTTGAAATTGAGCAAGTAATTAGGAGCATTCTACCTACTCAAAAGTCTTTCTTGTTCATTTTTCTTTTCCTTTGACATTGTTATCTTACCATTGATTTGGTAAGTAACCCTATCTTTGGATGTAAACGGGACGGGCGTGGGTCATTGTATAACCATGATTAGCAATATTACAAGGTATCTTAGCATTCTTTTTAGGGAGTAAGATCATTTGAAAGACAACTTAGATAGCGTCATCGAGGGACTATGATCTTGTATTTGCTTGTTTTTGCTAAGATACCTCACATGTGTAATACGGCCATTTTATATAAGGCAACCAAGTGGAATAACCCTAGGGGTGCTTGTGTGCAAGTGTATTATTTTCATGCTTGTTTTTGTCTTGAATTAGGATTTTCTAAGTATTGGTTTTAGTCTTTCCATACAAATCCTAATTACTAGCATTTGTATATAAAAGCGATGAATTGCGGAATTTAAAGTTACTACGCAATTACAACATTTGTGGAAGGGGATGTATAAATTGAATGGGGATTGCAAGAATGTAAACCTAGTTAGTCTATTACAACCATATTGAATTGATATCAATGTACAAGGAATTAAATGAATACAAAATACAAAATGGATAAATGTACAAAAATGCAAAATGTGAAGTAAATGGATATTTGTTTGATTTTCTAGAGAAAAAGGAGTTTGTTTTGACCTGATTAATTAAAGAAAATAATTAATTAAACTTAAATTTATTAAGAAAATATTTTTAAACAAAACCCTAAATCTATCAATTAAAATTTTAAGAAATTAAGTTTTATAAGTAAAGTGTTTTTGATTTTTTTTGTCTTGAAAAAAAATTATGGTGTTGTAAAATATTTTTGACCTTTTTTATATTAAAATAAATATATTTTAATTAGTGTAAAAAAATAAATAATAACCTAGTTTTAAATTAAATTTACAAGACTAGTTATTAAAATAAATAAAATATAGTTAATAAAAATATTTTTTATGAGAAAAATAAAATAAACTAAGTTAAAATAAAAATCTAATATTTTTGTGATTTTTTGTGATTTTTTAGTATTAGGAAAATATTTTTTAGCCTTTGTGATGATTGCCTTAGTTGATGACAAAGGTGCTTTAGAAATTACAGATCTTTACAAGGTGCACCTAAGTGTTGATATATACATTCAACACATTGTTGCTCAACATGATTATTGTGACGGCCCTATTGATAATGTTGAAGAGGGCCTGATGACATTGTAGGTAAGGTGGAAGATATGTTTAACAAACTGTATGATGAGATTGCTGATAAGTTGAAGGATGACAATGTTGGAGTTGAAACAACCAATGTTACAATGGAGTCAACTAATGTTGGAGTTGATTCATCCAATGTAGAAGTGGAATCAACCAATATAGGAGTGGAATCAACCAATGTAGGAGTGGAACCAATCAATGTTGGAGTGGAATCAACCAATGTAGGAGCGGAATCAACCGATGTTGGTGAGGTGCGTGATGAATACTATTTTGATGATAGTGAGGATGAAAGCTACTAGTATGATAGTTCTCTTGAAGTAACTTTTGAGGATGATTCTGATGGGTATGATGAGATGGAGGAAGATGAACTTGATAATCTGGTTGGATATGAAAGTGATGAAGAGGGAAAAGGGAAAACAAAAAGGGTAGCATGTGAAGAAGAATTTAAAGGGAGTGATAATGACAGTGAATATATCCAAAGTGGTTGTGAGAGTGATGATAGTAGTGAAGCTAAAAGGAAGAAGTACTCAACTTTCAAGTTACAAAATGATATATCTAATTACAAATGGGATGTAGGAATGTATTTACTTCAAAAAGTGATATTAAAGAAGCAATAACCACATATGATGTTCAGAATGGTAGAGACTTGAAGTTCAAAAAAATGACAACAAAGGGGTGAGAGTGAGATGTAAAGATGGTTGTGAGTGGGAAGTCTATTTTGAAAAGTGGCCAAATAAGGAATCTTGGCAAGTAAGGAAGGTACTTGACAGACATAACTGTAGCAGAGAGTATAATGTGAAGATGATGAGTACGCAATGGTTGAGCAAGAGGATTCAGAATTCCTTGGAAAAAATCCTAGGATGAAGGTAAAGGATATAAAGGAAAAGGCACTTAATAAATGAAATGTATGGGTAAACAAGACTAAAGAAACCAGAGCAAGACTTGCTGCTATGGACATGGTTGGTGGTTCTTTCTTAGGGGATTACACTAGAATCTATGACTATTATCAAGAACTATTAAGAGCTAATCCAGAGTTAACAGTTAAGGTAAATGTTGAACCTATTCAAGAAGATATTTAGGATCAAAGACCGTTTTTTAGAAGGTTGTATATATGTTATGCAGCATGTAGGGAGAGCTTCAAGTTACGTAGACATGGCATGGGTCTGGATGGGTGCTTTTTGAAAGGGCTTTATGGAGGACAAACTCTATCTTCCATAGGGGGATCCTAATAATCAGATGTTTCCCATAACTTTTGTTATTGTGGAGGGTGAAAATAGGGATAGCTGGACTTGGTTTTTGGAGCTCCTGATTAATGACCTATGAGGTACAAATGAGTGTCTCACATTCACATTTGTTTCAGACCAACAAAAGGTATGTAAATTTGTTTATTTCCTCTTTTTATTACATGAATAATGGTTGTTGTGTAAATTTGTTAATTACTTCAATGTATGATGTTTTGTAGGGTCTATTACCTACAATGGATGATCTTTTGCCTAATATTGAACAAAGATTATGTGTCAGACATTTGTATAACAATTTCAGGAAGATGTGTCCTAAAAAGATGTTGAAGGAAAATTATATGGAGGGCTTCCAAATTAACACACTCACAAGCTTGGGAAAGAGAAATGAGGGGAATGAGATTGATTACTCAAGATGCATATCTCTAGCAGAAACATTTATTGAAAATTTAAAGTAATACACATGCTCTTGAAAAAGATGGGATCTCACAAGACTTCCATGTGTTCATGCATTGTCAGCTATGAAGAGTATGAACTTTAGGATTGATGATTATATCCTTGAGTATTATAGGAAGTCAAGGTACATGAAAGTATACAAGCATGTGCTTTACCATGTGAATGGAAAATCTTTGGGTTAAGACACCATATCCAGATGTGCATCCACCTAAGTATAAAAAGTACCTGGTATACCAAAGAAAAGGAGGAATAATCGACTATTTATATGAGTACAAAATCTAACTGCAAATGCACAACCTATCGTGTAGTTTTAAAAGATATCAAACCACAGAGACTAGTGGTCAAATCTATTGTTATTAATTGTTACGGTGTTTATTTAAGGCGATTAATTAAAAGAACGTATCGGTATTTTGCCTAAAATTTTAGATCAAACAATTACAAGTGAAATAGATGAAGTTCAATTTTTTTTTGTTTTTTCCTTCTGTGTTTTTTCTAACCACCACCAAAATTTCAAAAATTCACTAGTATAGAGCCAAAAAACGCTAAACTAAATCATCTCACACTTATTATAACATTTATAATCAATTAACAAATTAATATTAATCGAAATTCACACATAAAATTTGTGACAAGTTCTAAATATTACATGATATGGATTTGAGTGCTTCTATATTACATCAAAGTAGTAAAGAAAAGAAGAAACACAAACAAGAAAATATGGAATAGAAGAGAAATGGAAGAAATCGCCACATTCCACAAAAGAATAATAAGATCAATGTAGAATCACCGTAACTCTTGATAGATTAAAGTTTGATTCAAAGAAGAACTCTAGAGTTCATTTTTCTAAACTCACATTAATTTTATTTTTATTTCTAAAATTATCAAATATTATCCAAATAAAAGACATATATAATCTAAGATAAAAATTAATCGTAAACTAATTCTTATGACCAAGATTTTAGAATGATGTAGATTAATCTTATCACTTATCATGTAACTTAAAGTCAAGAAAGTTAATAATTTGTTGGTTCAATTGTGATTTTAATTTCTAGTCTTTTCTCTTTTTGACGTAGTCCTTTTACTCCTAACTCTCAAATATATGTCTGATTTTAAAAATTATACTCATCTTATTTTTGTTATCTTTTTGAAAGGGAATTGGATCCTCTATTAACCAGCAGCAGTGCAACTTCAAGTTTATGAGTGTAGAGAGAAATTGAATAGAAAAAATGAAGTGGTAAAGATGAGAGATAAAAAATGATGAAAGAGATAGAGACATATGAGAGAGGGCGGAAGATAAAAATAGAAATAGATTAGGTCGAATTAGGCTTTGTTAAATCTGATTCTAACTAATTAAAGATTTCAAAGTTTAAGTCTAATATTTAGTCTATCAAAGATTTATTTTTAGGTCAGAGTTTAGACTTTTCGAAAGTCTGATTGACCTATTAACTTACATAAAAGTCTATTTTATTTGAATATTTTCAAATAAATAATTCAACTAATGTTAAAATAGACTAACAAATTAAAAGATTAATTAGACTAGATGCTTATTTGTATTAAATTATTCAAGTTTACCTACTAACATATATTTTGTGATACTATTTATTTGAAAGAACTTATGAAAACAATTTATGATATTGTTCATAAGGTTTTTTCAACATATTTTCATAAGTTCTTCTAGACATATAAATTTTATTTTTGTATTTTAATTTAAAATACAAATACCACATAATAATAATAATAAATTATATTTATTTAAATAGGTCGATCTGATAAACTTGAAATATTTTTTTTTGCGACATATAATTTAGTATTTTTAACTAAATAGATTTATAAAAAAATCAGATTTCTTTTTATTTAAAAAAAAAAAATCAGATCTGACTTTGATCTATATAGACTAACATCTAGGTCTCTCTTGTTAGTCTAACTTATTTCCACCTTTAATTGCATAAGTATGACTGCAAGTGATCCAAACTCTTCTAAAAGACATAGCTCGAAAATCTTGGGCAAGCAAAAATATTTTCTTGATCTAAACAATTTGTTATTGTACTAAGAACCGGCCAAATTGATTATTTCCTTTCCAATGTATGTCTCCCTATAAGATAATTAACGTGATTTGAAATCAAAGTAGTTTGAAGAACTTTTTCATCCCAACTACGTTAACACTTTTATATCTATTTATCAAAGTTTACCAAAATAACATAAGATAGCTTAGATAAGTACATTTTTCCATAAGCCATGTGTTTTTCCAACTAGCTTGTGTGGAGTTTAATTTTCCACAGTCTCTTAATTTGCTTCAATTGACTTACCCTACAACTTGAAACATAAGTTGATTTATTTTATCAAATGAGTGAATTAATTATTCAACTTCTACTTATGCTATTACCCTTATAAATAGAAGCATAATGTGAGGTATGTTACATAGTCTTTGAAGGTGTGGAATACTTGTCAAGTGTTTCAAAAGCATGACAATATTTTATACTATGGTTAGTATCTTACGAGAGTCGTCATGAAACCGACACATACAATAATATTAAATTAATTCATTTTTTCCTGTTATTTCTAATATAAATATGTATGTGTTTGTGTCAGTATTATGCCTGAAGTTTTTTTTTTATGCAGAAGTGTTTTTTCACATTGATAGTGATTCTGAGTATGATTAAACCTGGATTGAGTAGCACAACGACTTTCAATGTGTTAAAATATGGAGCAGTTGGAGATGGAAAAATCAATGATTCTCCTGTAAATTAATTTTAATCTATTTAGCTTCATGTGTAACATTAATCAAAATATATTTTGAAAACTATTTCTTATGAAAATTTGTAATGTTATTGAACAGGCTTTTCTAAAAGCATGGAAAGATTTGTGTAAGAGCAAATCAGATACATCTCAATTGATCATACCAGCAGCCAAGACATTTTTACTGAGGCCAATAGCACTCAATGGTCCATGCAATTCTAAAAATATTTACATTCAGGTACTTTTTTAATTTTAGTATTTTTGCAATATATTCCCTCAAAAGTCAAAACTATTAACCATGATATTCATGTCAATATAATTAAGAGATTCAAATATTATTACTCGATAAATATTTGAATCTCTTAATTGTTTGATCTATAGTTTGATTATGGCCGGTGCGTATGAAAAATGTATACATTAATAGAGGTTAATTTATTGGATATAGACTTGAGTTAACTCAATGAATTAATTTCTATAATTTTAAGTGAAAAGTAATCAATTAAGTGCTTTTTTTGTGAATTCAGCTTTCAGGGAACATAGTTGCACCAGCAACAAAATCAGAATATTCAGGATCCCATTTAAACACATGGATTGGTTTCTCATTTGTGAATGGCTTAATTATAAGTGGAAAAGGCACTATTGATGGTAGAGGCTCTATGTGGTGGAAACAACCTTGCTTAGGAAATCCATCACCTGTAAGTCAAATTTTAAGTGCTTTTTTGGCTTAACATTTCAACTTCTAGTTCTTCTATAATACATTATTCTATAATTTTTTTATGATTTTTTTTTCTCTTTTCAGGGAACATCTTGCCGTCCACCAACGGTAAGTATCATTTCTCCAAAATACTGACACCTCTGAATAAAAATGTGTCTGGTGTCTAACACGTGTCATTGTGTGACAGATAGCAGACACATATTCAATCAGAGTATTTGGTATGTTAATTTTGTTTGTGTGAATTAATGTGCAGGCAGTAACACTGAATAGATGTAATGGATTTCAACTAAAAGATTATAAAAGTATTAATCCAGCAAGAAGCCATATAACTCTAACAAATTGTATAAAGGGAATAATCACTAATCTCAAATTAATTGCTCCTGGAGAAAGTCCTAATACTGATGGCATTGATATTTCTAGTTCAAAAGAAATTCAAGTACATGACTCTATAATAGCAACAGGTAATTAATTAGTAACTAATTTTAATCTATATTAGATAATAAACCAAAAAGAAAACACATTGAATGTTGTGTGTAATTGTAATTTAGGTGATGATTGTATTGCTATTAGTGCTGGATCATCATTAATCAACATAACTGGTATAACATGTGGTCCAGGACATGGTATCAGGTTGGAATTTTGATTTTTTAAAATTAAAATGTGCTAGCTACTTTACCTTATATTATCAAGAAAATGTTATTTCTTTTGGTAGTATTGGATCATTGGGGGCACGTGGAGAGAGTGATGTTGTAGAGGATGTGCATGTGAAAAATTGTACAATTATTGAGACGTTAAATGGAGTAAGGATCAAGACTAAACAGGTAATTAATGCATTACTTTTATTATAAGGTTTTCTTTTTCTCATATAACTTTGGTCACATTATTATTTAAACTCAACAGGGAGGAGGAGGATTTGCTAGGAGGATCACCTTTGAAAAAATCAAATTTGTTAGAGCCAATAATCCAATTATCATTGAACAATTTTATTGTATTAAGCCAATGATCTGTCCAAACAAGGTAACACAAGAGAAAATGCACTAACTAACTTTTTTTTATCAATAATTATACAATTTTTTAACAATTTTTCTATTGAATGTTATATGTACTAGACTCAAGCAATCAAAGTGAGTGATATCACTTTCAAATCGATTCTCGGAACATCATTAACAGACAAAGCAATAAATTTGAACTGTGACCAAAATTTTGGATGCTCCAACATTGTGTTTGATCATGTTTATATACAATCTGCTGTTCCTAGAATGAAGGTTTTCTCTTACTGCCACAATGCTCATGGAACTGCCACTCATACCAAACCAAAACCATTCTGCTTGCTTAAGTAGCTACCAATTCCCTTTGAATTGTTGAGAATATTCCAAATTGTTTTTATTTGTTGTGTAATTATGATTATTGAACAATAATCTGTGTAAATTTTGTTGTATTTTGAATAATTACTATATGCCGATTTTATAAATAATAAAAAATATATATTTAGCAATATTATCGAAAGTGTATTATTGTAATATGTGTTATACTATATACTATATATAGTATATAACATAATGTAAGGTAATATATATATATAAAATGCAATAACAAATTATAATATAAGGAAGAAAATGAGTTACCTAATTTAACTGCCAGGCTAAGACTCATTCGATTCGTTCATAAGCATTTCCATATTTGCCAACACAACATTCTATTTCTGTTGTTTTTCTTTTGTCTCTGTCTGTGGATGTTCGTTTGTTACAATCCTTAGAATCTCCCATGGGGAAAAGGCCGCCGTACTCCAACGATATAGAGGCGGCTCGTTATCCCCCGCCACCACCGCCTTCTTACCATATACCACAATCAACACAATGGTTCTCATGGTTGGTGCCGCTCTTTTTTTTAGCCAATGTTGTATTGTTTGTGTATAGCATGTATCTCAATGATTGTCCTGGATACTTGAATGAAAATGATTGTCTTTACTATCATTATTTGGGAAGATATTCTTTTCAACCTTTCAGCGAAAACCCTCTCCTCGGCCCTTCTGTTCGCACGTAAGAATCTCTTTTCTCTCTATAATCGTCGTCATCTTATATGATATAATGTTCGTGATTATGTTAAATGCATATCCTGAATTACTTCTATGCATGGCTTTAAAAAATTGTGGTTTGCAACAGCAATTGCACTCGCAATATAACAAATTTTGAGCAATCTGCAACGATTTCACATTTCAACAGCAATTGCACTCGCAATATAACAAATTTTGAGCTATCTGCAACGAGTTCACATTTCACATTTGCAATTTCAACCGCCTCGGCTGCATTTTTCTGCATTTGACCGAAATATAAAAAATTTGCAGTGTAACCGCCTCAACAATTTAAAATCATAGTCATGTGGTCTTATTTTGAGGATATGCAACATAAGACATAAAATGAAATTGCCTATAATACATGCATGCATGCATGGGAAAAAAAGAAAAGAAAGAAAAGAAACATTGTTAAATTTTAATCTTCTTTTGTTAATTGGTCATTGGGGTGTTATTGTGTAAACTTTGTGCAGGCTGAGGGTAATGGGAGCTCTTGAAAAGGACCTTGTGGTGGGTGAAAATGAAGCATGGCGTTTCTTAACTTGCATGTTTCTTCATGCAGGAGTTATACATTTACTTGCCAATATGTTTAGTCTTTTATTCATCGGAGTTCGCCTTGAGAACGAATTTGGATTTTGTAAGCATGCCTCAATTGAAACTCACTGTTATTTTCTTTGTTTAGTTGATTTATTTATGTATGATTCCTTGGACTCTGCAGTTAAAATTGGATTACTGTATATGTTTTCTGGTTTTGGTGGAAGTTTGCTATCAGTTTTACATCTGGGAGATTCGGCAGCACCAAATACCATATCCGTCGGCGCATCAGGTGCACTTTTTGGACTTCTGGGAGCCATGCTTTCTGAGCTTCTAACCAATTGGACTATCTATTTAAACAAGGTACTTTCTAACGTGTATGTGTGCCGGTAAGAACAATGCTATGTGACTCAGATCAATTGGTCAAACTGCGTGATCAAATTTCATGTGTTCTGTGGTTGTGTTTTTCGTATCTTTTTACTTTTGAATTAGAGTTGTAATTCTAACTTTTAACAGACCGATTTGATACCGTGATTACTTCTACAGTGTGCTGCTCTTACAAGTCTTCTGCTCATTATTGGCTTAAATTTGGCTGTTGGATTTCTACCTCATGTGGACAATTCAGCTCATATAGGAGGATTCCTTGCAGGATATTTCCTTGGTTTCGTTCTTTTAATACGCCCTCAATATGGTTATGTGAACCGCAAATATGTACCTCCAGGATATAACGTAAAACGTAAATCCAAATATAAATGGTATCAGTACGTCTTTTTGGTTTTGGCACTCATTATATTACTTATCGGGTAAGCAACTCATAATATTTGTACAAGTTCAATTCTGATACATAGTTGATGAAAAAGGTTTATACACTGTCAAACTAATCAGAGTCGATTTTGATTGATTCACAGGTATGCATATGGGTTAGCTTTATTGTACATAGGAAAACCACCAGATGTAATGTTTTCCATATCGGGGACTAATCCAATTTGAATCATTCTAATTCCACCACAGCTTGTTCTTCAAGTTTTCATGTACGTAGCAGTACATATGTTATAAAGGACTCCTGGGTTTATTTTGTTCAAAACATGCACATGATCGCGGATACTTGTCTGAATTCTGGTTTGTAGACTATCCATAAAAAATAGAACCAACCCAACTATACATGTATCTATTTGACAGTTTATATGAATAGATGAAATTCATAGCCGTTTGGTCCATGTAATATAATAGCTATATGTAGATGCCATCAGCAATGAATTTACTTATAATCGTTAGTAACGGATGAACCCGAGTAATCAATCTCAAGTTACAGTTTTTGTTTGAATAACTGGTCGTGGTACAACAATATACATTATTTGTGAAACAATTATATCAAGTTAAAAGCTTGTTTGTTTGCTATGCTTTACAGTACATATACATATAACAAAATGCTGATGCTAGATTTCACATGACTCAGAGCGACCGAAAACAGTGTAACGATTATTTGCAACGTTGTCATAAACAAAGTCTCTGACAAACCTGCGGTTGTTGGTTGCATATATCATCAATAGCAATAAAATAAGATGATAAAAATGGTAAAGAAACGATAAAATATACTTACAGAGGCATGAAGTGAAGAAGAAAGGCTAGCTGAGGAAAGGGTAAGTCTATGTATTCCATTATCTTCAGCACAGCTTCTGACTTTATGTATGATCTATACAATAAATAAACTACCTTATCAGTTAACCGCTATTTTTTATCCGTTATCCGCTATAAACTAGTTTATTAGTTATCCGCTATTTTTTTATGAGTTATCCGCTATAAACTAGTTTATCAGTTATCCGCTATTTTTTATAATAATAGAAATAGTGTATACCTATTAATTTCAACAAGAACAACACTTGAGATATCATCAGGAGCTCTTCCTGATCTCTTAAGTAACATCCTACCAGCGTCACTCTGAAGAGCTTCATATCTAATTGTCCTGTCAAAACCAATTAACTAACTAATCAACTTCTTTAAGTAACTAATCAACTAGTCTAATCTAAATGTGAAGAATAATAATTTACTTATTTCGATCATTATCACGAACAAACTTTACTCCTCCATTACACAAATTGCATACACCTGTGTATGAAAATCAAAATAAAATTAATAAAACTTGCATCGAAAAGACGTTTGTTCCATGGAAAATTACCGTCGAATAACATGATGGGTCTTTTGTCTTGCTCGAAGAAGCTTGAAGTTGCTTCTACCCAGTTAACGCCGTCGTTTTGGGGTTGCGACAGAGTAGCGAAAGTTTTGACTCTTCGTGCACGCGGCGAGCATGTGGTTGATTTCACGCGCGCAACAGCACAACCAGGAAGCTGAAGAGACATTGGAACAAACAAGTTATCTGCGAGCAACTCTGATTAATTGTATCAAAGGTAAAAATATATTAATAATTCTATTTTCCTGGTGGCGCAGGACTAGCCACCACCAACCTTGGTTATACTTTATGCCACTAATGGATATTTATCTTACATTTTTTTACTACTTACACTAATTCGTATGTTTTTGAGTTTAAAATTGAATTTTCACCAACAATTTTAAGCAATTCAAAACGAATGCCTAGGTCTCATTTTTCACATTCATTTAGGTAGAATGAATTTTCATACAAATTTTTTTATTTTAAATGATTTAAATTTAATTTGACTATTATAAAATCCATCCTTTTTTTTAACTAACAATTATTTTATTTTGAAAGTTTTTTTTTAAGTATGTTTTAAAATCTTAAATCATGAAGAGAAATAAAATAATTTTGAAATTGTCATAAATTAAGAAGTCGAAAAATAATAAAAAGATGTCTGATTTGGATACTATGTAGATATCGAGTTTCGTCGGTTCAATTTGCATATCTATTCATTAATGTTAAAAAATTAAATATATATTTTATATTAATTTAGAGATACTATAAATTAATATAAAAATGTATTATAAGATATTTATAATATTCTATTTTAACAATTAATGGATTTTGTTTTGGGAGTTTATTATGGATTTGTTGGATTTTAACAATTATAAATATGTATTGTGACAATTTAGAATTGTAGAGCAAAAGAGAGAAATAAAGGTTTAGGGAATTTCAAGTGAAAACTTAGAAAGACATTGTCTTTTGGGAAACTTTTGAAGTTATCTAAGGGGGTTGAAAAATATTTTTAAATATTTTGGATTCGTGTGATTCTTATATTAAGAGTTTAGGAGATTGAGACATTAAGACTTAAAGAGATTGAGAAATATTTTGATAGAAAATAAGGTTTGAAAATAGCGTTTGTTCTTGAGAACTTGGAATACTATTTTCTTGTAACTCATTTGTAATATCTTATAACAATTTTTGGAGTATAGTAAATTGGAGAGTTGTTATCTCCTCTAGACGTAGATTATTTGATCGAACTGGGTAAACAAACTTTTTGTGTTTCTCACTTTATTTTATCTTAGGGTTAAATATATTTTTGGTCTCTATAATTACCAAATTTTGTTTTGGTCTCTATAAAAAAAACTAACATGTTTTAGTCTTTACAAAATTATTATGCACGTAGTTTTAGTCTCTGATGTTAAACCGATGTGTATTTTTTAATGATTATTTTGCAAACATGTTTAGAACGTTATAAAAAGTTTCTCGAAAAAAAAGGAACTCAAAATTTGATTTTTAAGTCGAGATTTTCATTGCTTTTATCAATATCTTTTTAAATTTAAAAAAATCATATTTAATTCTTCTCATTTTAAAAAATTCTAAAATTTGGTAAATAAGTATTTCATAGTATTCTAAACACTTAAGAGAAAATATATTCAAAATTTTAAAGATTTAAGGATAATTAAACAGTTTTCAAAATTTTAAAAAATAATAGGGACTAATATTGCATGAATACAAATTTTGTAGGGACCAAAATATGTTATTTTTTTAATAGGGACTAAAAATGAAATTTTAGATATTTATAGGGATCAAAAACATATTTAACCATTTATCTTATTCTGCAAAATTCATTGTCTTATTGGTTACTATTGTTGAAGGCCGTTTATTTTGGTTGTCATTGTTCTTTGTCCCCACTCATCAAATTTCTTGGTGTGAATTAAACCTTATCATTCTCACAACAAGTGGCGTCCATCATAGGACAAAGGGGTATTGTTTACAAGTGAGTGTCATGGCTAAATGGGAGATCACAAAAAATTTCGAAGACAATGAGTTCGGGTTGTGGAAAGTGAAGATGCAAGTAATTTTAACTCAAGAGAAGTGTATTGAAGCTTTGAAAGGTGAGGCATTGGTGCATGTGCGCCTAACAAAAGCTGAGAAGAGTGAGATGGTGGATAGGGCCATAAGTGATATTATATTGAGCCTCGCAAGGATAAAGTTATAATGGGCCAGGGAATAGATTGTTGCTTCGATGTGGGCAAAACTTGAATCATTGTATATGACAACGTCTTTGACTCACAAGTTGTGTCTGAAACAACAATATTATTCATTCTGAATGGTAGAGAACAAATCCATAGTCGAGCAGCTGACAGAATTTCATAATATTATTGATGATATTGAAAATATTGAGGTGTAGATTGATGATGAGGACAAGGCTCTACTTTTGTTGAGCTCACTACCCATGTCCTTTAAGCATTTTAAGGATACACTTCTTTATGGTAAGGAAGGTACTATTACTTTTGAAGAAGTTCAAATAGCGATGAAATCCAAAGAATTTTTAAAGGTGAAAGATTTGAAGATTGATGATAGTGGTGAAAGCTTGAGACTCTCAAGAGGAGGAAATGAGCATGGAGGAACATCCAAATCAAAGAGGTTTGGCAAGTCAAAGGTAAAAAAGTTTTAATTTTCAAAAAATCGATCACTTCAAGAAGAACCATCCTTAAAGAAATGTCAATGATGATTTTATTCAAGTTGTGGTTGCCTTATATGAGGATGGTTATGAGAGTGTTGGTGAACTAGTGGTATCGAGTTTAGATACTTAAGATAGTTGGATCATAGACTCAGGTTGCTCTTATCACATGTGTTCGAGAATAGAATACTTTGAGAATTTAAAGTTGGAGCAAGGTGGAGTAGTTTACGTTGGTGATAATAAGGCTTGCAAGGTTTATTGTATTGGTATGGTCAGACTTAAGATGATTAATGATCATGAGTTTCTTCTTCATAATATGAGGTATATTCCAGAATTTAAGTGAAATTTGTTGTCCATAAGCATGTTTGATGATCTAGGCTACTGCACTAGAGTTGAATATGAAATGTTGAAGATTCTTCATGATGAAGTGATCATTGTTAAAGGGTTAAAAATATGTGGTCTATATATCTCAGAACATTCAAATATTGTTGTTCACTCATCATTAACTACTGAAAACTTTCATAACAATAACAAGTTATGGGATTTTAGGTCAAGACATGATTTCCTGAAAGTTGTTTCAGAATAATTTAATGAATTTTGCAGAAGACGGGGGATAAAGATACATGTGACTGATGAGTTGTCATTGAGTTTATGGGGTAAGGTTGGTGTTAAAACAACTTACTTAGTTGGTAGTGAGTTCTTCCAGATAAAGAATAGTAAAAACCAAGGAATGAAGTTTTTAGAAACTATGGCGGAGAAAACTCAGTTTGAGGTGGAGTTTCCTACTACGGATACTAGTAGTAGTGAGAAAATAGTTACAGAGATCTATAATTATCATTTGACTCGTGATAAGGTCAAGATGGATATTGTTACATATCAAAGGGACGAGTATGCTAACCTTAGGTGTTATGCTTTGAATTTAGATAAAGGGTTTCAAAATTCAGAAAGAATGACCTTCAGGGAGGCATTCGAAAGAAGGTGGTGTCAATGATGGTTGAAGAACCATTAATTATTGTAGGCTTGTTAGAATACACAGGTAGAAAAAGGTGATTGAAAACAAGTGGATGCAAGTGGTGAGATCAAGATTCAATGGTGTCTTGAATTTGATTAAGGTTGTTGAATAGTATTTCAATAAGGTAGATAGTAGAAAGGTGGTTGATGGTTAAGTTGACATCACCACAGTTTCAATTCAACATGGAGATTATTGAAGTATGCCTTAAAATCTTAAGTAATGAAGAGAAAGAAAACATGTTTCGAGATTTTTAGAAATCAAGAATTCGAAAAGCAACAAGAATGTATGGTTCAGGCGGTTTGCGAATATCGAGTTTGGTTTGTTCGGTTTGAGGATTCATTTATTAATGTTAGAATATAGAATATATATTTTATATTAACTTAGAGATACTATAAATTAATATAAAAATATATTATAATATGTTTATAATATTTTATTTTAACAATTATTAGGCTTTGTTTTCGGCTTTGTTATGGATTTGTTGGGTTTTAGCAATTATAAATATGTATCTCTTATGTTATTACAGTGTTACAATTTTAGATTTTTAGAGCAAAAAAGAGAAATAAGGGTTTAGAGTTCTAGGGATAAACTTAGAAAGGCTGGGGTTTTGGGGAAACTTTTGTAGTTATCTAATGAGATTATGAAATACTTCTAAACATCTTGGATTCATGTGATTCTTATATTGAGAGTTTGGGAGATTGAGAAATACTTGGGTAGAAAGTATGGTTTGTTCTTGGAAAATTTGAAGGTTATTTTCTTGTAACTCATTTGTAATCTCTTGTAACAACTTTTGGAGTATAGTGAGTTTGAGAGTTGCTCTCTCCCCCAGGCATAGATCAGTTGATCGAACTGGGTAAACAAATATTTTGTGTTTCTCTCCTTATTTTATTGTATTCTACAAAATTCATTGTCTTTTTAGTACTATTGTTGAAGGCTATTTATTTTGGTTGTCATTGTTCTTTGTCCCCGCACATCAAATTTCTTGGTGCGAATTGAACCTTATCATTTTCACAACAATTTCAATTCGTCTAACATGAGATTCAAATAATCTTTCATGGGCAATTCATTTTATTTTTTAATTCTTACGAGTTTGGAGTAAATTTGACATGAAACACGACATATGTCTCATACACTAACTTGTATGAAGAAGTGTGTGTGTGTGTGTGTGTGTGTGTGTGTGTGTGTGTGTGTATGTGTGTGTGTGTGTGTGTGTGTGTGTGTGTGTGTGTGTGTGTGTGTGTGTGAGAGAGAGAGAGAGAGAGAGAGAGAGAGAGAGAGAGAGTCTGTTAATTCTCTTAGTGAGTTCACATATGCCCACAACATTTTAGTCAAAGTCTAATGCAAATTTCTTAGGCATTGATTAATATGTTTTTAGTCAGACCAGTGACAATTTTAACCATGACCTATATTTTACCATTACCTTGGGCATAAAACATTGTCGACGTCAGTTACTATACTTTCCTAAATTTTACAAATTTAATTTTTTTTGTCCCCCACAAAAATATTT